TGCAAAGCCTTTTATATTACTTATTCGTATCTGCTGCTGCCTCTAATGTGGGGTTCGAGTATTAATCTGAAACGTCTTTTGCATAAAGTTCTTGTTTCAGCGATCGGGTGTACAGCTCATATGGGGCTTATTTACTGCCTTAAACAAAATTTCTGAAGACCGAAATGTATTCCTCCGTATTTTTTTACTCTCATATTTTCATATCTCTTTCAGTGAAAACTGCTTTAAGCCGAAACGAGTGCATCGCTGACTTGCTGCTTGGAAGCATGAAGGGCCTGGGAACAAATGACGACGACCTCGTCCGTCTGGTCATGGCATACTCTGAGGTAGGCCAACTGTATCATTCGGGGAGTTCATAGCATAGGGGATATTTCACTATCAAAATCCACTTAAAGCAGAAAAGTTATTTGGAATCAAACTGTGTCTCGAATAGTCGTTTATTCTGGCGGCATAAAAATTTAGTCTCACAGGATCTGTGAGGATTCAGCTATTAACAATCTGAAGAAGACTTTAAGTTAATTTTAGTCTATGTAGATTTTTTTAGCAGCTCACGACTTGGTGCAGTTGAAGATTATTCTGCGGTCCGAACTCATTCACCATTAGCTCCGAAAACTCCTGGTTCATCTAATGGCGCCGAGAATTTTCAGAATAAGATAGCAGCATGACAAATGCTTGAAAGGAGATAGAATATTAGTTTACAAACCGCTGCGAGTTCTATAAACGCTCTTGATGATTATACCGTCCAGTCAGGTAAACTAATGATGTCATGCTGCAACACACACCTTTTGTCGGGTCACGATAAACATTCAGTTATGAATAGGTTCAGTGGAATCTCAACACTGCCACGCATTTCTGAAGGGTTTTTTCATCATCCTAAAATCTTTAAAACTGAATAAATAGACTCCATTCTGATGTCTCGTGAAAAGGAGTGTATGTGTTGGAAATGCCTTTTTCACCGTGGTTTATCAATACGTTCTCAAATCCACTTTTCGGCTGTTTTTTGCATTTTGCCCTCGTTTTATGGAATATCAATAATTTCGACTTTTTTCTGTTTAGGACAACCTCGAAGATGTCAAGAAAGTGTTTGCCGAGAAGAATGGAAAGTCGCTGGCTGACTACATTCGTGGCGACACGTCCGGTGACTATAAGAAATTCTTGGTCGCAGTTGTCGGCGAGTAAACTCACTGTCTACAATCTTCTGAAACTGGAGAAAGCGCTTAATTTCTTTCTGTTCTTTTCTCTTTTCTCCGACTAAACATTCTACAATCTTTACAATAAAGACAAATTATACGATTACCATCAATCTTTATTTTTCATGATGGGCGTAGGCTTCCAGCTACCCGGGAAGTCTATTTTGATCACTGTTTAACCTCTTTTCAACAAAGTATTGCATGGAATTAGAGAAAATTCGATGGGACACGAGTTCAGACGGTGCGATTCTATTGTTATTGCGCTTCCCATCTCCCCATGACTTAGACTGTGAGTTTCCGCCAAGACTGATCGCTTCATCTCCCGGAGAGCTAGCGTCACGAGAGACATGACCGGCTGTTTATCTGTGGAAAACGCTAGAGAGCATATCATACGCCTGTAAAAGGGGGCTTGCCTTACGCGGCAAAATCAGAGCTATATACGTAAGGAGTATTTCATGGCCCTCTGAGACGGACAACGGAATAGGAACGCACC